TGCCCCCCCCCCCCCCCGCCCATAGCATCCTTTCTTAAAACGATGCAACTGTTTCAAAGACTTTCTTTGGAGAGAGTCAGGTGCTCTGATGAGTGCTGTCGCGCCCAGTGTGGCTCATTGCTCAAACGAGTTCCGCCAACGTGTCAAACTGTATTTTATGTATTCTTCCTCTTCTCCTCTTCCTCTTCCTGGTGCGGTCAGCAGCAGGTCTGGATGCCAGTAACCAGGCCAGTACTCATGAACTCACCATTCCCAATGATGTGAGTAGCAAATAAAACACTGTTCAGGTTGACATTGGAATTTGTGGTGCTAAGTCATTCACTAGGGATTCAGTGCTGTCTAATACAAAGCTGACAAAGAAATGTGAATCATGAAGAAAGACCAACATGTACAGGCCCTGATCATCCTAAGTCCCGCCGCCATTCTTTTCCCAGCTAATAGGCTGCATAATTGGACGCCAGGGAACCAAAATCAACGAGATCCGTCAGATGTCTGGGGCACAGATCAAAATTGCTAACGCCATGGAAGGGTCATCGGAGCGCCAGATCACCATCACAGGGACCCCCGCCAACATAAGCCTGGCCCAGTACCTCATCAATGCAAGGTAAACAGATGCTAGGTGCTCAATTCAAGCTTCCTCCTTTCCACCTTTGTATTTGTTCTGCCAGGAGACACGAAACAATCGGCTTTCCCGTATTTCATAACAACAAAAAATAGCAGACAGAACTAATTGCTGCTTGTCCCGCAACTTAAAGATATCAATAAAAACAACCGCTTTGGAACAAACAACTTGTCTGCTTTGATGTTGCCATAAATGTCAATAATCTATACAGTATTCTAAAGTTGTTCCAACTTAATCTACTGCACAAGTGGTATTTTTTTACAGTGTCTTAGATGCATTTAAATGTCAGTTTGGGCAGTAGAGGGCCCCTCCGCACTTGGTTCCACTCTCTAAGGCAAGGGTGTCAACCTCATTTTTGTCGCGGGCCACTTTGGGGTTACGTCTTCCCTCGGAGGGCCATTACGACAGTGAAACTGAATACCGGTAAATGTTTAATCTTCAAATCATATAATTACTTGGACGCAACAAATTTATGGATTACTTGTCAACTATTTGTTGTTTTTTCAATCATTGTTGAAGTGAGTATAAACAGGGGAACAAATTTCTTGCAAAATGTCAACGTTATTGATTAATTAATTAATCGGTACAGATTTTAGCAAGGATCATTGAAGTTGACACACATGATTTGCTTTCACGGGCCACATAAAATGACGCGGCGGGCCGGATATGGCCCCCGGGTCTTGAGTTTGACACATGTGCTCTAAGGGGTCATAGTTCATTGCTAAGAAGAGTCTGTGTTACCTGCTGGCGTGTCACAGTCTTCACTACACTGAAAAATGTTGTGTTTCCATCTGACTAGTATAACTACTTTACTATGGAAATAAAATGTACTCACTCCACTCCTTGCATTCATCCTCCAGGTTCCGAGACGTGGCGGCCATGTGGAACGACCCATCCTCCATGACCACATCCTGAGCTCCCTGTCTGGCTCTTCTATCTGACCCTTTCCAACAACTGACGACGCCCTCCGGACTCTGGCTGTAGCTCTCCGAAAACTCCGAGCATCGGCCGCCCTGGTCCTCCACACACCAGTGAGGCCCGAGAGCTCACTTTTATTTCAGAGAGCCATTTCAAAAAAGACAACTGTCTATTGATTACATTTTTTAGTTTTGTTTTAGAGAACTGTTGAAGCATGTTGAATGTTTATTAGCAACAACTTGTGTTACTCTTTGCTTTCTGTTCATCTATTCTTTTTTTTTCTCTGTCAGTACTGCGTCATAGAACATTTAAGAAGTAAAAGATTGAACATTTTGTAGAAGTAGTTCTTTGCATTTATTACAGCTCAGTGATGCTATCGGCAGAGTGTGGTGGGATGTAGCCAAAAATTTTGTTTTATAATATATCTTAGAAAAACGGAGCCTTTAGAAAACAATATTGGACTATTCCACTTCTGTCCTAATTTGCATCTTTGTCAAATTACATCACATGACCCTTTTTAGCCAATGGTATCACTCCTAGAGCCTCCCATTTTGTGTTTATCACCTATATTTATGTATATTATTGCTTATATTGCATGTGTTAAGTGTTGTATTGTTGTGTATTTGAGCAGAACCTGTTCAGTGGACCTTGCAATGTTATAGCTTTGTGCTCCTGCTCTTTTCCGCTCATGTTTTTAGCTTTTTTTTTTTCTGGCCATTCACTTGAGTCCTACACCCTGACCAGACCTATAGCCTCCTTCTACTACTAGTATATACATGCATGAAAGGAAATTAGACAAAACTCAGTGGCTACAACACTGATTGGAAATTTAAATGATTGTTTATGATCATATTGTATTTTATTTTATTATTATTATTATTTTTTTTGTACAAGGACTATTTGTCAACTACGCGGCGCTCATGCAATAGATGATTCAACATGTTTGCTCTGGACTGTCTCTGATGTACGAGGGGTTAGTTGGCCTCAGGCTGTGTCCAAAACCTTTTGGCTTCTTTCCTTTATTGTGTTGTGGGAGGAAAAAGCAAAAGTGCTTGGACCAAGCCATAAGGTGTTTGTTTGAGGCCAAAGAATGTTCGGGGGTTTGTCGGGTGGCGGGGAGGGGGGTGGGTGGCCCACAGGGGCTTGGGCGGGCATGACCACTCAGTCTCTTTTCACGATTGTTTATTTGTCTCATGTCTCTTTCATTGTTTATTCGACGCTTTAGGTTTGAATGTCTTTTTATGGTCACAATTTGAGTCGGCAATTTTTTATTTTTTTTCATCAGTAAACTCAAGCTAATGAGAGGCACTTAAGGATGCTATTTGGTCAACAAAGCTCAAACTCTGTAAGAAGCTCAATTCTGTGTTGACGTACACAAACAGCTGTTGAATGTTACTGTCCAAGTCACATGATCCACTGTATGTCCAACACGGCAGCCGATGCTAATATGCGACTTTTATTTCGCAGCATGCTAAGCCTTTGACTTAAACATGGACCAAAGGCTGTTAGGATACTTTGCCAGTAGTCATTCTGCAATAATCTTACAGTTTGATGTGATAGTTGGGCTGAGCAATGGAACAATAGCTTTGAGTTTCTATTATTTGGGCTGAATAGAATGTCAAAGGACTAGCTGTCATTCTTTGTAAAGTTTCAGAGATATGCACAAACGACCGGAGAGCATTCTTTTTTCTTTCTTTCTTTCTTTGAATAATGATGGTTCTGTTTGCATTTCAACACAGTCTGTCTTGTTGGCAAAGCAGGACTATTGAGCTGGAGTGGTGGCAGTGTGATTTCAATAACATCAATATTCATGTACAATTATGTGTTTGGAAAATTGTATTTACTTACATCTGTGTGTATGACTGAAGCAAACTGCAACTAATGCAATAATAGGGTGCAATGTGCAATGAATTATTCTGTTCCTTTTCCCCTTTGAAGACAGGAGAGCTATGTAGCTTGTTGCAAAATGTTTGGTTTTTTTATTTAAAGTTATTTTCCATGTGGCAGGATGTGTAAAAAAAAAAGATTTTTATTTTTCAGCTTCAGTTTGTGTGTATTACAGTTTGGGGAAAAAAAGTGATCAAAGTTGGTAATTATTTTTGATTTATTTGCTCCGTGCAGATCTATATTAGTTGTGAGTACTATGTTTAATTTTAAAGTGTTGGTCAATACAAAAACAAATAAAGTTTCAGTTTTTCTTTCTGTGACTTCTTTCTTTTTTCATTCTGTGTCTGTGTCCGGTCTTGAGATATAATGACCATTGATATATGCACACATTTTTTCAGCTTCGTGCCGGATCACACCAGACCGCAGGAACTTTAGATCCAACATAGAGAAGGTCTATATCCTCACAAACACCTCCCCGCCCAAAAAAAGGAAAAAAAAAAATCTGGATTCCCAATTGCATATACTGTATCAGGGTGGGGGGCACGTTGCCTATTAAAGGGGCCATGTTGCCAGGATGGCCCATTTCCCACTCATAAACTCTCTATGCATGTTTTTGATCAGGAAAATGACAATTTCAATTTAATCAATTTGTTTTGGAGAAGTCAGTAAATAATTCATCTGAAAACACTCAATTTTTCACTGCAATATGGAATCCAAAACACTAAACACAAGAACCCCCACACCACCCGTAAACTCCCAATATCTTGGTGTGACGTTTGAGGAGGAACTTAACACAAAATCACTGGGCACACATCGCTTATAATGTCCAAAAACTGCACTCAATCTGCAGCAGCATTGATGTGGACACCTTGAACATCTCTACTTATGCCTTCAAACACAAAATCAAATAAACACCCTGTTAACACTGTCAGCTCCATAAATGACTGATACATACATTGCCCATAAATGAAGATTTCAGACCCATGAAATGGAATACTCCAGAAGGAACCACACAAGAATGGATGACTGGAGAATAAGTGAAATTGCATACGTACAATATCTTTAACAAACGGAGATATCAGAGAATATGACTTCAGATCATATCAGTAACCGGATTGGTAACAGATGACATTTCAAGCAAAAGAATGGCAGCTGTCAGCAGAACAATGCAAACAATGAAAGTGCTTTTCCTCGCTTTAAAATTCCCATCTGGCAGTTTCCTTTATGCACTATCCTCACTTTCACATTTAAGCATGTCTGGGTTTGTTGCACGTGCAAAAAGTCAGTCTGTAAATACGAGCTGGTGTTAATCTGGTCTGCTATAACTATATCTCGTTTTCACAGCGCTTATTTCATCACATAACAAATTAAGTCAACCACTGTCTTGGAACAACAGCTGGGATAGGCTGCAGCACGCCCGTGACCCTTGTGAGGATAAACAGATCAGAAAATGGATGGATGGACTGTCTTGGAAGAACCACAGTTTGATGAAATAGCTTGTCCCACTAAAAAAAGAAGTGGCTGGATCCATACTTTCAGACAATTAATGAAACAAAGGGTGAAAGCCACATGCGGTTTATCAGTTCCTCACTAAGTGCGCAAATGGCTTCACATGTCATCCAGTCCAGTGAGAAGCTGTGAAACTGGGCTTGTTTGGGCAATACATTTCACAGTCCACTATGAAAGCCACTTCTCAATATCACAAATAACAAAAGGTACAGTGGGAGCAGATAGGACAACAATGTGAAACCTGTCCTGTGGTTTTTCCTTTTCTTTAAGCGGTTAGCTGTTGAACATTGATGAAAAGTGGCGTGCACATAAAGTCACTCCAGTGATGCAGTTTTGCTACAATGTGCGAGCAGAGGGGAATTTTGCCAGGAATCAGACAAGATGAGTAAGGATGTTAAACAAATGCCCTGGCCAGTTCCAAGCGGCTCGCCGCCTGTCAAGTGAATCTATAAGACTGATTATCCAGCAGAAAGACAAAACTGCTTTTGAGCTCTTGTGACATTTATTCGTATCCTTTGACACTTGGGCTACTGTCAAGAAGACTGAAGGATAAAGCAAACTCATACACGCTAAAATGCTTCAGTCGTCAATATAATCAATCATTTTGCCTTTCAGCAAAATGCCATGGCTGAACTCTGCACAGCTGCCATTTAATCATAGAGACACTTGGGCTGCATCCAAGTGGTTATAGCGATGGTGTTGGACTACCTTCAAAGGCCTTTTGTGAGCATGGGCGTCACAGTCAACGTATTGAAGTCCTCTATCATAGAAGAATGGCCCAAAGGAAAAGGCTAACAACCTGAAACTCCTGTGGGTCCAGCAAGCAGTTAAAATGTATTTGTATTGTCGGCTCGGTTGTCGAGTGGTTAGCACGTCCGCCTCGTAGTGCAGAGGTCACGGGTTCGATCTTGGCCTCGGCCTTCCTGTGTAGAGTTTGCATGTTCTTTCCATGCCTGGGCCAATTTCTTCCCACATTCCAAAAAACACGCATGGTAGGTTAATGGAGCACTCAAAATTGTGTCGTTGTTAGTGTGAATGGCTGGTTGTCTATATGTAGCCTGGGATTGGCTGCCGGCTAGTTCAGGGTGTACTCCTCCGGCTGCCCGAGGTCACCCGAGGGCTTCAGCATGGCTGCGACCCTCGTGGGATTAAGCGGTTTCAGATAATGGATGAATGGATGAATTTGTGTGATAAAAGTATGAAGTGCGATCCCCCTGATGCACCGCTTCAAAATGGACGCACCTCGATTTTAGGTTGTGGCATTCTATTAGTTCACCACTAGATGGCACTAAATTTTACATACTACACCTTTAAACTGCGATATTAATCTGTCGCATCAACATCATCCCCCGACACCCCTTTTGCATCAATCAACGAAAAAACATATTTTTCAATTCTATATGCACTAATCATATAGTTACATAAATAAATTTATGTAACTATATGATGGTAAAATTTACATTGCAAATCAGGTAATGGCCATTTTTTTCCTTCATTTAATTTTGTACATCAAAAAGATAATACACGATTTATAAATGGAATATCCAATATGATACAAAGAAAATGTATTTAACTGTCATACGCAATCAAATCAGAAGAGTCGCCACAATGAGTTAAATGTCTAGCAGATGTAATTACAGTGTCGTCTATGAGAGTGTCTCCGGGAGTGTGACATATTAGGAACTCAAAACACACACGCACGCACGCACGCACGCACGCACGCACACACACACACACACACACACACACACACACACACACACACACAGTCTCAAAGCTGCACCGACAGCAGCCGGCAAAGTCTCATTGAGCACTTGCATCTTGGCGGCTGCAGTTGCTTTTTGCTGTTCATTTTTGGGGTTCAAGCTAAGGACATATGATGGAGAAGATTTTTCAATTCCGTTGAACATTTTCCTGTGACGCGTTCAGGACCAAACGAAGAGAAGGGAACGGCCAGGTATTGATTTCTTACTTTTGCTTAACTTTTTTGTCCCACAATGGGCTATTTTTGTGCAAGCTGATGTACAATAGCCCAAGAAGTAATGTTCTTAAAATATTTACCTTTTTTTGGTTTTTCTTTTTTTAAACCTGTGGGATATAATATTTCAGTAATTTGTAAAACAATTCATCTCTTTTATTGACACCACAGTTTCTGTGACAAAGACTTTTTTTGGACATCCATTTATGTGTCAGTAATCTTTTGTCTGTTATAAACAATGCCCGAAATGTTAGCAGAAACAGCATCTGAGTTACTTTGACTCTCAGTGTTCATTTGTCATCCATGCACATCTTTTTCCTGCTGATGCTGGAATAAATGCTAATCTAGATTTTGACCTTCAGGCCTTTCATATGATGCACTGTCACTGTGAGTCATATACATTCAAAGAACATCTTTGTATTTCGCCTCATCGGGTGGTTTTATTTTCCAATGCAAAGGATATCGTACTGTGCAAAGATGCTGTTTTATGATTATCTAAAACTTTACCGGATTGCACTCTCAGCAGTTTCAAGTGTGTATGGAGGATTCAGTGTTGTCATTAAACAACCTTCTCTTTCTCCTTCTTCTTTTTCAACCTTCTCTTTCTAGTCATTGGCAAAAGATGAGGAGGGACCAAAACAAAACGTTAGACTCCTCTTTGGCAGATGATGTCGACAGGGCTCCACTCTGAAATTTCGTGTCCCAACGATGTCAATGTTGCCACACATTTTGTGCGAGATCCCGGCTTATCTGGAGCCAGATGACAAACGATCAGGTGACAGTCGAAAATGGCGCTGAAGACAAAACTTCCGGACTAATGGGTACCACTCCAAGGTCATCCAATAATTCTTGCTCTTATCTTGACTTCCTGGGTTCATTGTGGCTTCTATTGACCATGATCACCATTGCGCGTGCCTGCCCAAAAAGGTGCCATTGCACTGAAAGGAATGGCGCTGTGGTGCAGTGCACGTCACGTAACTTGGATAACATCCCCTCCAATCTGCCCAAGGACACCGTGGTTCTCTTGCTCTCGTCCAACCAGATCACACACGTTCCCAAGGAAGCCTTCACCGACCTCCACCAACTCAGGGACCTCGACCTTTCCCATAACCTCATTGAAAGCTTGGAGGTCGGCGCTTTCCAAGGAATTTCCCAAGGCTTGAGGACCTTGGACCTTTCAAACAACCACCTCAGCAGCCTGCCAAAGGAAACCTTCACTAAACTGCAAGCTCGTGTGCGCTTGTCCAACAACCCCTGGAACTGCGAGTGCTCTTTGCAGGAAGTGTTGAGGGAGCTGAGACTCGACCCCGAGACGATCAATGAGGTGAGCTGCTCGACGTCTGCGCAGGACGAATATGTCGGGCAACCGGTCATCCAGGTGTTGGACTCGGGAATCAACTTCTGCAACTTTCACCAGAAGACGACGGATGTGGCCATGTTCGTGGCCATGTTCTGTTGGTTCGCCATGGTGACCGCTTACATCATGTACTACATCCGACACAACCAGGAGGAGGCAAGAAGGCACTTGGAGTACCTCAAGTCCTTGCCGAGCAGTTCCCATATCAGCAGGGACTACGATACAGCCAGCAGTGTGTTTTAGAAATGATGCACCAATGAATATAAATGAGTGTGCATTGATGCATATAGATGAAAGTCAAGCAGGGAAAATGTTTCAGGCTTGTGAGTGAGCGATAAAACCAGCTCAACGATACATTGCTGCACAAGTCAGATGTGATAAGAAGCATCAAAAAAATTAAAACAATTCACTGTCTTGAAAAACACGCAAATATGTGGCGAGAAGGACAAAATGCTAATGTCTAGAAGGTCCTCTATTTGGTTGTCATCCCCCAAAAAGTCAGTGAAGTCCGAGTTTTATTTGTGCTGTGGAAACAACTCAAGGCAGGATCTGTTTCAACAAGATGAAGGGCACATGTAGCCTGTTTGACTTTCTTGATTTCAAGTACTCAAGTGGTGTTCTGGATTTTGATGTATTAATGTTCTACAGCGAATCTGTCCTTATTAGTGGAATACATATTGTATGCAGATTTTTAGTGTCTTTATACATATATCGTATTTTGCTAGAGATGAAATTACTTTAGCCCTATAGTGCTAAGAAAATGTTTTTTTTAAATTTAAGGGAAATGTAGATATGACATCCAAGTTATTCATCCATCCATTTTTTAATCTGCTTATCCTCACGAGGGTCGCGGGTGTCCAAGAGCTTATCCCTGCTGTATTCGGGCAGTGGGCGGGGGACACCCTGAACTGTTTGCCAGCCAATTGCAGATCCAAGTGTAGTTATTTTCTGTCTGAACAATTAAATAAACAAAAATTGCAAATGATAACGTTTTATTCGAGGGCTGCTGATGTATTGATAGAAATAAATAATAAATTACCATCTATTCTTCAAGACAGCGTCTTTTACATTTTGCAGCAATTTATCGCAACAGATGAAAACCGTACAATGCAACAAATAACAAGCACACAGATCCTCTACCAACAAATTAAATCCATAAATCGGATATGACTGTGCAAGGCTTCTTAGAGTATCTTGTTGCAGTTTATTGGAGATTTTTTTTTGCCTCGTGGTTGCATTCTAATTTGCCTAACCATGTGACCAAGTGTTTTATGTACCGGTAATTATATTTCTTGGACTTGCTCTCCTCAAACCACCTCCACTCCAAGTCTTCCTCCCAAGGTTGTAAAGTGAGATTACATTCAGAATTTGGAAAGCCAAGACATGAATCAGGAAGAAAAGTTTGTTCCTGAAAAATTCAGTTTCTTCAGACTGGAGACTTAGAATGGCTGGAAGAGCGATTGAGTTGGAACTACCATAAGCTCAACTCAAATGTGAGTTTGTATAAATAATGATTTGATGTGTCATTGCCTGGTTTAAGAAGGATAAATGTGGTTGAAGAATCCTTCAAGCCAGTAAACCAACTCAAGAAAATGTAGTGTTTTATCGACGTCTAGGCGATCCAGAGAGCGCAGCTCTACTTAAAAATATATGTGGTACATGTAAAAATATAACCAATATGTAGCAACTGACTATTAATGTTTGTGTTCCCAAACATTTGATGGGTGTGACTGTTTTTTATGAATTTACCTGCTGCCTCCCGGAGTTTTCCAGCTGACGGTCAACCACTCATCCTGAATCGTCAGTTTATCTTGATGACCTTCAGCAATACTGAAAAATGTCAAAAAGACACAAATTATGAATCATACAGCGGTGGTTTTGTATTCCCTTGGGTAGTCTCTGTGTGATATTAAAATTGGTTTGATGAACTTAAACCTGTGTTTAGTACTTTTTCACGGAACTGTACTTGAACATTTCCGGAAAGTCGATTGACCATAAGGCAATCAATCGTAACATTATCTGTTTTTTTTTCAATCCTGAATGTACATTTTAATGCTGGGAATTTCCCTTCATAATGCATAATGGGGTGACTGCATACTTGCAGAAGCGCAGTTATCTGTTTTCCCCTCCATTTGGTGCAATCAGGTAATCAGCCTTCAAGCTTGCTCATGCAATCAGCATCCCTGCCACCTGCTCCAAGCACTGAATGGGAGTGAAAGCAAACCCTTCAGATCTCTTCATCTCTTCCCTGATGTTTGGCCAACAGGTCCTTTTCTTCTTCACTAGAACCAGTGAAGGGTTAGACTTTGTATTTCACTCATCAAAGTCTCTTACATATGCTCATTATACTAAAATATATTGTGGCACATTTATTGGTGTTTTTGTTAGCTTAATGCGTTGTTGACATGCAATTAAAAAAAGTGGCAGTGACTTAAGTACATTGCAAAATCAGTGAAAAGGGAAGCTTTTTACTAATGTGATTACTCTCACTGAGGCATTCACAAAAATATGTGCCTCTCAAATTTTGGGCATATGTTGTCACAAATTGGAGTAGATCAACATCCACGTGTGCAATCCAAAGATGAATGCAAAATTGGGATTGATCTCTGAAGGATGATAATGTGCCACCGCATGGCTTTGATCACCCCCATTCATCCATCTTCCTGCCCCCTGAGTACATTTTGAAAAGTGTTAAAAATACAAAAGGAGATTATTTAGGAATTAAATGATCATTTTATTGTTGCAGCTCCGAAACAAAGAGAGCTGTTGTGTTGTTTTATTTTTAAAACATAAACTTTATTAATACGTTTCACACTGAAGCAAATACAGACACGTCGATGTTGGACTACGTGCCTTCTCGACTGCCGTCTAACTCGAGAGGCGTTCAAGGGCCGCCTCCGAAAAACGTAAATTAATGATCACTTCACTGACACTCAGAAAAGCGAAAATAATGCAACAAAACAGAAAGTCAATTGAATAACTAACAGTCTCCTACCGACATTATTTTGGATTGCCTGACTGCTTTGTCTATAGGTGCTCTGCTCTTGAGTGGCAAGTAGTTTGTGCTCTACCTCTCCCTCTATTACTTTTTCACAACAAGTATAGAAAATTGATGGAATACACAATTTGGGGGGCTTGGAGGGCACCCTGGTTAGCGTCGTAGTGGTCAAGGCAAGGCCATTAATAAATACTTAAAACATGGAACATGTCAACTATACTTTCGGATGAGAGAGGGATGAGGCTCAGTGAAATAAAACGGCAATGAATGACAGCGTAACTTTTATATGTTTAATGCAGACTCTTATTCGGTATTTTTTTTTTGTTTGTTTGTTTTGTAACTTTGCTTTGTGATTTATCAACTAGATTTGTTCCACAGGGAGCAATAAAGAAACAACTTCCAAAGCAGATCGGTAGCAAACGTGCTCAGCACACTGGTTGGGAAGGTCATTTATCAGAAGCTGATGCAGCTTTTTAAAATTGGCCAGCACACAGCAACAAAGAGCTAATTTCAACAAATCTATGAGGCACTAGTTAAAGCACCTGCATCACATCAAGTCTTCCTCGACAGAACGAGAGGTTTAAATCCCTTGAGGTTGCGTAAGTACTTCCTCTTGTCTAATATCTAGGGAAACTGGCACTGGAAAAGTCTTTTTAAGAGCAAAGGACAGTATGCCCTTACATGTCTCTTTGGCAGCAAATTTTTAATCACTGGTATTTGATTTCAACCTGACTCATCCATGTCTTTGGCCTTGATATTTTTATGCTAAAAAGACCTTGTCAGCTCCTCAAAGTCGAAGGCACATCAGAGCGCGGGATTGACAAATGTGTCTGCTTGTAAGAAAACAAAATCAACACGATGGCAACGTGTGAGTGTCGATCAGAGGACATTGTAGATGCGATACTGAATGTCTTTGTGACGCGTGTTGGTCACCCGACTGTTTGTTTGGAGGCCCTTTTGTTATCATGGGGTTGGAGTGATTGGGTAAGGCTGCAACAGACGATTCCATTTGGATTGATTCTTGAGTCTTACAGCCAAGAAAACTCTCCAGGGTACTGAGAGCCTTCCTATGTTTAACGATGTGTTTAGATTCAAAAGTATTAGTTACATGAATGAAATTTCAGGCACAAATCTTGAGCGCTGGGATTCTCTGAAAAGTCAGAAATCTAACAAGCAAAACACTTGAAACACTAAAATTGAGCAAAATTGATATGCTCTACTGGTGGTGTTGATTGTCTGTCATCCAGGTCACGGTAATCCGCAAATCTTAAAATCAATCCAACTGGACTGGTGTTGTTTGTTGAAAATGTTTCAGCTTTAAGCCAAATCAATAAGACAAAAAAAAGGGCTATTGTTGGCGTGGTTAGTGAAAAACCATTTTGGTTAGCAAATGGTTGTTCATTCACCTTGTGACAAAACTGCTTGTTAGAACCAAAGAAGACTTTTGTAATCAAGGTGAAACGTCTTCAACAAACAAGAGCAGTCCGGTTACCTCGATTCAACCTTTGCGGATGTGATTACCAGTAGCTATTTTTTCAGGTTGGAAAACTAAAAAGTTAAAATTGAAATACAAGTAAAAATTTTGGATAAGTGCATCGCTTTATGTTTGATGCATCACAGCACACAACATTACTTGGAAAAGATTTATTGACATAAATATATAAAGTCTTATAAAACAAGTGTGCCATTGGTGTTGTGCTGTTCCCAGGGTCCAGTGGAAGGTGCTGGACTGCGCCGCTGCCCTTCTAGTCTCGGGAACGTGCTGATCTGCGAGGACCGGATGCTCCGCATCAGGCCTCTTGCTCGTACTTCATACACCTCAACCGATGTTTTTTTGTATCTGCCGGAAAGAGACGTGCATCTTAATGGATGCTGATGATTAATTTACATCCACACAAACAGTGCTGAATCAGTTAATTAGACCACCACCATGTAAGGCTTATGCCACAGCTGCCTTAACAATATTGGTAAATAAGATAATTGTTCCTGTTTTTGTAGTTGTTGATAAAATAGTTTGTAGAAGTTCCACAACCAAAATGATATTTCAGTGCTACAGTACAGCATAATTATGTTGAAAATGAAAAATGTTTCACCTGTGCCCCAAAACAACGCTGTTGACACTTTCTGTGATGCATTAGCAGGTTTTCCCAATGTTTTCTCAATCCTCAATTTTCACACACGACTAATGATATAAGATCAGATGCAAGGTTGATAGAGAGTAAGCGTCATTAACACAAGATGATGCTGGCAGGTGCTGGGTGATGCAAAATCTGAAATCAGTCCTGTGAGTTACACATTGGAAACACAAACCCGATCGGGGTTTATTTAATCAAAACTGTACTTGTGCTGATTGCACCATCCGGATTATCTATTCATCAATTTTCTGTATCATTTACCCACACGGGGGACGCTGGTGAGCTGAAGCCAATCCCAGCTGAGTTTGGACAAAAGACGCGCTACACCCTGGACTATTGGCCAATCCATATTGACAAACAACCATTCAGAACCAAAAACTTGCCAAGGACAATTTTGAGTCTTCAATGACACAAATTTTAGTTTCATTGAGAACTCTAAATTATATGTTTTTGGATCGTGGGAGGAAGCCGTAGTACCTGGAGAAAAACATGCAAGCATGGGAGAGCATGCAAATTCCACACAGGAAATAAAACTCGCACAGACAGTGTACTAGTGGATCAGAACTCACAATCTGAGCAGCAAAGACGAAAGCACCACAGAAAGGGACGAGGTGGCCATTGCAGCTGAGCCCATCCAAGGTTGGAGCACCAGGCCGGCAGGCATGAACATGCCTACAGTGGGCAGACGAGAGGGCTGAATTATCAAAGCTTCCAGGACACATACTGTATACAGTACAATGCTACCTTGACTTAGCAGTTTGATTCATTCCACGATCATATTCTTCACTGAAATTGTTTGCATTTCAAATCAATTTTCCACATTCAACTTTTTTTTTAATAAGAATAATAGCACTTGACAGATTTATACTGTTTAAACATACAGTAATAAAATAAGAAATATCGCAGGCTTTGTGTTTGGCAGAACAAATTCAATTAGGAATGATCATGACAACATGACCTTTTAGCAGTTCAATTTTAGGCGTAAAAACATCATATCTCTTGTTCCCGCACCCAACGTCACGACTCGACTTGAGGTCGCGACACCCTTTTGAAATTGGCAGTCTTCAAAATTGTCAATGTGCAGCGAGTTTGCATGTTCTCCCCGGGCCTGCGTGGGTTTTCTCCGGGTACTCCGGTTTCCTCCCACATTCCAAAAACATGCATGGCAAGTTGATGGAACAATCTAAATTGCCCTTAGGTGTGGTTGTGACCGTAAATGGTTGTTCTGTGTGCGCT